CCTTTATTTAACCAAGTTTTATCATTTTCATCTGCACTGAAAGGGGTACAAGCCATTCTAGTTTTTTCTAATTCTGGGAAAGGGGCTAAGGATGGGGATTCATTGTTTCATTCGTCTAGGCCAATTTGTCCTATTCTTCAGATCTCCTGAGATGATGTTTAGGCAAGGGGTTACCTCTGATATTTCAACAACCATTGTGAATGGGTCTATTGTTGTGTCTGAGTCCTTACAAGCTAATGGTATTCAAGATCATGTGAATGACAATTAGGGAGGGATCTCAGATAATCATGTTGACAAGGGGGGTTAGGTTTTTAGTAATAGGGATGAAGAAACGGAGAGTTGGTTGAAGGAATTAAGTATGAGACTTGTCCAACTGGGGACGAGGAGGTGCCTGAAGAGGTGCCTCATTTTATGCAATTACTCCAAGTTATGGGCTTGTCATTAGTTAAAATAGAGGGAACTTCAGGATCTTTTAGTAAAGATATTAGGTTCATAAGGGAAAAAGATGGTAGAAAGGTAGGTGAGAATAGCAAAAAAGGGGCAAGGGAACTTAGGAATTTATCATGTTCGGTTAATTATGAGAGGCTTTAGGAAGTATTTAGGGTGAACATGTCTCCCAATGAAGATCATTAGTTGGAATGTGAGGGGGTTGGGCACTCGGAGAAAGAGGGGTGCTATTAAGGATTTTCTCAGGCGTCATCAACCGGACATAGTTGTTTTTTAGGAATCTAAAGTAGAAGTGTGTGATAAGAGGTTCATGAAGAGTCTTTGGGAAGTTAGACATAGGAGTTGGGTTTGTTTGTCTTCAATTGGTAGAGTGGGGGGCATTTTGGTGATATGGGATGAAAGAGTTGTTTCTCATTGTGAAACTTTAGTGGGGGAGTTCTCACTATCAGTTAGGTTTAGAAATCTTGACAATACAGAGTGGTGGTTAACAAGGGTTTATGGTCCTAACAGACCGTCTAGGAGAAAGGATTTGTGGGAGGAGTTATATGGGTTGTCTGGGTTGTGTTCCCCTAATTAGTATTTAGGGGGAGATTTTAATGTGGTTAGGAAGAGCTCAGAAAAACTCAATGGGATCAGAACCACTAGGGGCATGAAGGACTTTGATTTGTTTATCACAGATTTTAAGTTGGTGGATCCTCCTTTGTGCAACACAAGATTTACTTGGTCTAATTTACAAGAAAATTTGGTGTGCTGTAGACTGGATAGATTTTTGTTTTCCTTGGGATGGGAAGGTTTTTTCCCCAATTTAAGACAGGAATCACTACCGAGATTAACTTCAGATCGTTGTCCTATTATGATAGAAAGTTGCCCTTTAAAGTGGGACCCTATGCCTTTTAGATTCGAAAATATGTGGTTGGAACATCCATCTTTTCACAGAAAGTTTGAGAAATGGTGGACCAATGCTAATTGTTATGGATGAGAGGGTTTTAAGTTTATGAAAAAGTTGAAAATGGTCAAGGAGAATGTGAAGTGTTGGAATAAGGAGCTTTTTGGGAATTTAGAGCTTTTAAAGAAAGAGGTGATGAGCAGAATCGAAGAGTTAGATGTATTAGAGATGCATGGGGGTTTTGCTGAATCCTTTAGAAGGGACCAATCTCTGTTAAAATTGAAATTGGAAGAGTTGGTTTTTAGGAAGCAAATCTCTTGGTCTCAAAAAGGGAAGGTTAAATGGTTGAAGGAAGGTGATATGAACTCAAGATTTTTTCACATGATAGCAGATGGGAAAAGAAAGAAGTTCATTAAGAGATTAGAAGTAAGCCCAGGGGTAGTAGTGGAACAGGTGAATCAGATTGTCAATGGAATATATGGTTTTTATTCTACGCTTTATTCGAAGGAGGAGATGAATAGATCAGGGATTGAAGGACTTGAATGGGGACCTATTGATCAGGCAGTTGCAACCTGGCTTGAAAGGCCATTTGATGAGACGGAAATTCGGGAGGCAGTTTTCAAGTGTGAGAGAGACAAAGCTCCAGGTCCAGACAGTTTTTCCATGGTTGTCTTTCAGGACTGTTGGGAGGTGGTGAAAAAGGATTTGTTGGGAGTTTTTTTAGAATTTCATAAGTCGGGGGTTGTTAATTTGAGCTCAAATGCCACATTCATTTGTTTGATTCCTAAGAAAGTGAATGCGGTAAGAATTGGAAATTTTAGACCCATCAGTTTGGTCACATCACTTTATAAGATTTTGGGAAAGGTTTTATCAAAGAGACTCAGAATCTCCTTGGGGAGACTGTGTCGATGGCACAGGGGGCTTTTGTGAAATGTAGACAAATCCTAGGTGTAGCCTTAGTGGCAAATGAAGTCGTGGAGGAATATAGAAGTTTAGGAAAGGAGGGAATTATCTTTAAGGTGGATTTCAAGAAGGCATATGATCGCGTGGATTGGCAATTTTTGGATTTTGTATTGGACAAGAAGGGTTATGGTGGGTGGTGGAGATCTTGGATTAGGGGATGTTTGTTGACTTGTAATATGTCTGTTTTAGTTAATGGTAAACCAGGGGAGTGTTTCAAGGCTTCGCGAGGATTACAACAAGGGGACCCACTATCTCCTTTTCTTTTTATTTTGGTGGCAGATGTATTGGGCAGGATGGTTGATAGAGCTAGAGAAGTAGGTCTTTTTGCGGGATTGGAGGTGGGGGGATAGAGTTTGTGTCACACATTTACAGTATGTGGATGACACAATTTTTTTCTCAACAAGAGATGAAAGTCAGATAGTTAATCTTTATTCGATTTTGAGATTGTTTGGTGTCATCTTCGGCTTTAAGGTTAATTTGGAGAAAAGTAGTGTGGCGGGCATTAATATGCAGCAAGACTTGCTTCGGAATAGGGCGGTTCTTTTAGGATGTGGTTTAGAGACACTTTCGTTTAAGTATTTAGGTCTCCCATTAAGGGGTAATCCTAGAAGTGAAGCTTTTTGGAATCCAGTGGTAGAGAAGTTTGGTAGGTTGGAAGGATGGAGTAAGGCTTTATTGTCACGGGGGGATAGATACACTTTGGTTAAGTCGGTTTTGAATGGTATTCCTATTTATTTCTCATCTTTGTTCAAGATACCGGTTAAGGTGGCAAAGGCATTAGAAAAGTTGATGAGGGATTTTCTTTGTGAGGTCAAGGATGAGGGGAAGAAGGATCACCTAGTGAGTTGAGATTTAGTTTCATTGCCTAAGGAAAAGGGGGGTTTGGCTATTGGTAACATTTTGGCTAGGAACATGGCCCTTCTTGGCAAATGGTTATGGAGGTTTCCACTTGAGAGTAATTCACTATGGCATTTGGTTATTAGAAGCAAGTATGAGACTCAAGACAATGGTAGGGATTCTCAGGTGGTCCTAAGGGGTACTTGTCGTGTTCCTTGGAAATCAATTTCACATATATACACGTGTTGGTCTTGTCATCTTTCTGTAAGGGTGGGCAATGAGGAACTTGTTCGTTTTTTGAAGGATGTGTGGATGGGCCAATCTTCTTTTGCTTCTGATTTCCCACATCTCTATAGAGTGGCTCGATCTCATAACTCTTCTATTACTTCTATGGCTTGTTCACTTTTGGCTCCAATTTCCCGGAACTTTGATTTTTCTAGAAATCTTAATGATAGGGAGGCTTCACAGTTGGCGTCCTTGTTGTCTAGAATTGAGAATTCTTCTTTGGCTCCTCTTCTGGAGGACAAGAGGGTTTGGGCTCTCCATTCATCTGAGATATTTTCGTGCAAGTCTTTTTTTGATAAACTCATCGATTCTCCTCATGTTTCTCAATTTCCATTTTCCAAGAGAATTTGGAAGGCTTGTGCTCCTCTTAAGGTGAAGGTGTTTATGTGGGCCTTGGTTCATAGAGGTTTTTTGACAAATGATACATTGCAAAAACGGAGACCTAATCGTTCTCTAAATCCTCAATGGTACATTATGTGTCATAAGAATGAGGAATTCGTGGACCATTTATTTTTGCATTGCCCAATAGCTTTGTTTCTATGGCACAAGTTATTTTTGTTGGGGAATGTTATGTGGGTAGCTCCGCAAAGGAGTGCGCATATGCTTGAAGTTGACTTTTGTGTTCTTGGAGGATCAAAGAGAGCCAAATTGCTTTGGTTTTGTGCGGTCTTTGCAACCTTTTGGGTTCTATGGTTGGAAAGAAATGTGAGGGTGTTTGAAGATAAATCTCGAGAGAGATTGTTTATGGGATTGTGTTTGCTATTTAACTTTTTTTTGGGTTTCGGGGAATTCTCTTTTTAAGGGGGTCCCACTTTTTTTGTTAGCTAGAGATTAGTTGCCAGTGTGTGATATGTAGCCTTTTGCTTTTGTGTTTTCTTGTTTAGGCTTTTGTTTTATGTTTTTCCTTTTCTTTATAAGACGATGTCTCATCCTCGTTTACTTTCCTTTTTGATTTATCAATAAAGTTCTTTGTTGTTGAGCAAAAAAAAAATCATACAAGATATGATTGCGTCAGAATGATGTTTGCTATGTGGCGATCCCTCTATAGAAGGGAATGATAACTATCTTTCTACTCAATTTCTACTTTGGTTTAAGAGAATTCTGACGAAGAGCTATAATATATATATATATATATATATCACTGAGCTAAACTAGATACGTCAATGACTGCAGATTACTTTTGGAAAAGAAAATGTTGATGTGCAAATTTAAAATAGAGAAAAAGTTTGGTAGGACATCATATGCCAAGAACTATAGAGGTCATACAAGAATTGAGAAACTTACCATGATTTAGACTGGACTTAACGAAAGACTATATGCCTTCATCACAACTTGCAAAAATAAAAAATAAAAATTGTCAAAAATAGAAAAAAGCTAAATTCCGTGAATTTACTAAGGTTATGTGCAGAAATGAGTGATTGTCGGTATTAAGCATGCCCTTGAAAGTCTAGTATTGTCTGTACGTGGCTATGAGCTATATGACCCTTTCAAAAATTTGTAGTCAATAATGTGATATAGTTTAGTCCACTATTTTAGGATCTATAAAATTGTAAACCTTTTCTTTTTCTCTTCGCTTGTGTAGATCGAACAAGGAAACCCTCAGATTCTTCTACAAGATGAACAATCCAGATTTTCAAGTTTTGCAAAAGCCTCCACAATGTGAAAAATGCCGGGATCGTGAGGTCTATCACAAGTTGTGTTCTATAGAAGACGTGTCTGTTGTATCATTCAGAATTGCTGAGTCTCGGTTTCTAACTCGACTGCTCACCAACATATTGTAACTGAGATACAGTGGCTGTAGTATTTGGATTTTTAGGGGCCGGAATTTCGAGCTGTTCTGATTCTGGCTGTGGACTTATTGTACTGATATCAGGATTTGTTGTTTGATCATTAGGTAATTGTATTTTGCTCTAAATGACATCTTTTATCTGTAGCTTTTTGCCATGATTCTGTCTTTGGCATCTGGGGAAATTACGGGGTGGTTCTCAATTAACTGTGCTCAAGAATGTCTCTAAAAAAATAAAATAATAAAATAAAAAAAAAGGAAAAAAGAAAATAAAATGTATGTCTAGACCTAAAAATGTTTTCTGCCGAAACAAATAATTTTTGAATAACAATAATGAAGACCCTTTAAATTTTTAATGTAATAAACTTAGGGATGCAAACAAATCGAGTTGTTCATGAATAATTCGAGCTTGGCTCATTTAAAGATCGTCTAAGCTCAGTTTGTTTTTTAAATGAATGAGTTTGAGCTTGATTTTCAAGTTCATTTATTAATCGAGCCGAGCTCGAGTGGCCTTAAGTTCCGCTCAATAAGGCTTATGAAGTAAATTAATTAATATTTATTAGTAATAATATATTAAATAAATTTTTATTAATTAATTTAATTTTTCTATTTGTGTTTGGTGTTTGTATAAATTTATATATTTAATTGATGAAATTTATTATTAATATAAGCATTCTTGCATATTTTTCTCCTAATTTTTAAAATTTTTTTTTTTATCTTAATAAGTAAATTAATTTAAGTTTAATTTTTTATTTTCAAGTTCAAATTTAGCTTATGTAATTGAGCTGGCACAAGTCGAGCTTGAGTTTCTTAAAATTTGACGAGCTGAGGTCGAACTTGATTATTTAAACTCGACTTAAATACGACTAATTCTTAGTAAACAAGATTAAACGCTTTAAAATCTCGTTTGATTTGATTCGTTTGCAACTCTAAATAAGTAAACAAAAAATTAACAAAATGTACTTGAGGATAGAACCATGATTTCATTATTGGAGGGATCAAAGACAAATAAAAAATTTTCACCATGTATGCAAGCACACATGTATGCAGTGGCGGAGCTATGAAGGGAACGGGGGGAGGATAGAACCATGATTTCATTATTGGAGGGATTGAAGACAAATAAATTTTTTTCACCATGTATACAAGCACACATGTATGCAATGGCGGAGCTATGAAGGGACGCGCGGGGGGGCGGGGACGCGTGCCCCCTCTCAAGTTTTGCAATTTTTTTTTTTTTTGGTTTTGCATATAAGAAAAATAATTAACCAATAAAAAATTTATATAGAAATAACATTTAGAATGATTTCTTAATGATATTTTTCAAATTACGAAAATAATGTTGGTTGTTTTGATTGAAAATAAAAAAATTACAACAAATCACATTATTAAAAAAATTTAGCAACAATGATATCAAATCATCACTTACATGTAAACATAGTTAACCCCATTACGAAAATGAGAAATTATTGAATTGTTAATTATATTTAACAAGTGTGATTGACCTTCTATGTGTTATTTTATTATTGATTAGTGATATCATATATCGATGACAATGTTGTATCACTATTATTTATATATTATTATATAATCTATTATAAGACATACAATACTCTTTTGCATTACCTATCCAAAATAAAAAAAAAAAAAAAAAAAAAAATACACTAGTTACAAGTAACATCATATATTTCCAATTCTGATTTTTCATGACGTCAATTGTAAAAACAAAATTTTTTAAAATTTTATATTAAATATTTAAGATTTTATGCGTAATATTAATTTAAAAATTATTATCTATTGTTATTGATTATGAAGAAAAAATTTCAAAATTTTAACTAACAAGTGCCCTTCAATACTATTTTCTGGCTCCGCCACTGCATGTATGTATAATATGATACATATATATATATATAAATTATTTATACTCATGAAAAAATTCAAATATCCTAGGAGTAATCTCTATTAGGATAAAGAAATTTTTTGGGTACAAAATAAAGAGAATCTAAGATGGTAGAATAACGAGATACATATCTTTTATATTGAGAAGCTATTTTATTTATAAAATAAGATATATATTTTAAAAGTGCTATGATAAATAAATTTTTTCACAGAAACAAGGGGGCATGACCTCTTATAGGTTTTTCCTAGTTCCATCCCTACTTGGGTCAACACTCAATAAATATTCCATTAGTGTTTGAGAAGTGGTTATTTTAGTTGACCTTTTGATCTTTTACAAAAAGACATGCATAAAAGTAGAGCGAATGATGTAATTGAATGTTTGGTCTTTTTTGAGTGTTATAATCAAAAGCTACCACCCCAAACGGGGACAATTGCCATGAATATCTATCGGGAAATTCTATTATTCACACCCCTTTTTGAGGTGTGCACAATATGTCCTGATCATAATATTTGTGATATTTGGTTATAATTTATTATTGTGTTAGTTACGACTCATTGTGGCATTAATTATAATTTATTGTGATGTTGATTATGACCTATTCTGATTATTATTTTGATTATGACAAAAAAAAATGTTTGGTTATATCTTACGTGGTGTTTAGTTATAACTAATTTTAGTTGTAGTTTTGACTGAAAAATATTTAATTATGACATCTATGGTAATTAACACTACTAATAGTATAACTTGCCTATAATATACATTCTTTTGAGCCTTCGTTTGGCTAACTTAGTTGCGTTAAAAAAACATAAAAGACAAAATAAGCCCATAAAATAAAATGTCATATCTAAACCATAATTATTTTACTTTTTCTCTCACAAAAATCAAAAAGTCAAAAAATATAAAACCAAACGAACAATCCCAAGCTAAAGAAATTTCAACTTAAAATAGTTAACTAAAAAAGCCAATTTCAAATGACAACTGAGGGTGCGTATACTAATATGACTCATGCATACTGGTATGTGACAAATTAATATTAAAAGAATTATAAAAAGTAAAAGAATAAATAATTTTAATTTTTTTAAAGTGAGAAGTTATGTTTAAATAAGTTGAAAGTGGAGTCAATTATGATTTCATTTGACATTTAACAAATAAAGATTTGATGATACCAACTCAAATTTTGATTTTATAATATATATATATATATATTTTGGTGGTAGCTAAGTGAAACAATGTACTCCATATAAGTATCAAAATTTGAGTTAATTATACATATACTTTACCAACTACCACTTAATATTATTTATTCTTTAAATTTTAAAATTGCATATTTATGCTTTTTCAGTTATATAATTACATCATTTTCTATTTTTTAAAGATAAGATATTTATACAATTTTTCATAATTAAAGAGTTTAAATATATGATCTAAATTTTTTAAAAATAAAATAATATTTAATAATAATTAAAAGAATGTTCATATAATTAATCCAAAAATAAAATAATATTAGTATAATAGTTGAAAGATCATTCATATAATTAACTCAAAAAATTATAATATTCAAAATTTGGTTCTTTCTTATGCACATGGCCATTTCCTGTAAAAATGTGGTCCTCAATTTTACACCTGAAATAAAGCTGATCACTTGACATGTGTGATATGCCATAACAGGTGGTAGGGCTCTAAAGTTTACACCTGGATTGATTCTCACAATAATTGTATTAGCCATAATAGTTTTTATTTTTATTTTTTTGGAGAAGACTTCTTTCCGGTCCACATAATGGACTGGAATGTAATACTGAGGCCGTCGGATTTATTATGAGTTTTGTTTCAATAATTTGAGCCGTATTAAGAGATTATCAAAATTCAAAAAATGTGATTTTTTACAGACATAAAATATTCGACAAGTTTTATACATTAAACAGTTCGAATTATCGAAACAGGATCCATTGTGGACTTGACGGGCTCAACAGTACATTCTAGTCTATTATGTGGACTGGAAAGAAGCCATCTCCTTAATTTTTAGGGTAAGTTCCACAAATTTATAACTAGACATTCATATCAATTTATGCTTACTTTAGACTAATTGTGGGACTCACACAAAATGCCTCCTCTATATAGATCGGGCAAATATCAGGCAGCAATGTTTTGAAAATTGGATCGGTGAGCGAACCAGAAAAGAGACCGGATGGACGGGTCACTGGTTCAACCGTCGGGTCGAAGCGGTCGAACCGTGATGTCATAATTAATATTATATAATTATAAATTATAAATAAATAAAAATATATATAATTACTGAAATAATAAAAAAAAGTGTTGCATAATATTTACTAATAATATTTAATAAAGTCATAATTGATAAAAATAAAAAATAAAAAAAGTCACTAGTTTTAAAGAAATTAAAAAAAAAAAATTGAACATTCCCTCCAAACAAATTGATTGAATGCTAGATTTAATTTTGAAGGGAAATGAAATTTTCAACTCTCCCTCCAATCAAATATGATTCAAACAATTTGATAAAATCTTAAAAAACATAATTTATATATTAAAAAAAATCTAAAAAAAATATAAATATCTATAATTATCCCGTGCATAGCACGGATGATAGGCTAGTATAAATATATAAGAAAGAAAAAGAAAAAGAAAAAGAAAAACTGGGTTGATCCATAGAACCGGCACCGGTTCGTCGGTTTTCCCAGTTGAACCACCGGTTATTTCGGTTTTCACTAATAAGGCCGGTTTTTGGCCTACACCGGGTCTTGAAGGTTTTTTGGACCGGAGGGAGGCCCTAGCTCTCGGTTCAACTGGTTTGACCGGCCGGTCCAATCTGGGTTTGAAAACCTTGTCAGGTAGAGCTCGTGGATGTAATCCAAACAGTTAATAACACTTAATGAGAGTTGAACTTGAAATTTATAAGAAACATAGCCTCAGGTCCCAATCTACACTTGCTAAGCCAATTCCTTGGGATTTATAGTTTTGACATAGTTATAACAGAATAATTTTGTAGTAAGATTAAAATGATTGAAACTAATGTAGATAATAAATAAATAAAGATAAATATATATTTTAGTATAATTTAAATGACAATATGAGTTTTTTTATTCAATCTAACTATTATTTGAATTAAAATCTAAAGAGAGATTAATGTAATTATGTTAAAAGGGTGGTACAAACTGTATATTTTAAAATTTTTAATTTTTTTTATATAAATATATATATTTAAACATTATCTTATTTATTTATTTATTTAATTAAACAAATATGATTTAGTTGGGATTGGTTCTTTAGCCGAAGGGTTAGTGACTTTTTCTCCAATTCACTCGTATACAGTTGGGAGGGGACCAGAGATGGGTTAAACCTTATAATGACACTTAATCATTGTTTAAAGCCTTTTATTACTTACTTACTTATATTATATTAGATATATTAATCTTATTCATCAAAAGAATTACTCTCCATATTTTGTTACTTTTTTTGGTTATGGATTCAAAAGTTGCATTATGCTCTACAACCTTTAGTTGCCAACACGTTGTCTCTATTGGGAACTGATATAAAATTTTAATTTTAGGTGAGCAATGTTTATTTAATTGAAAAAAAAAATTAAGGAAGAATTATGTAAATAGTCCCTGTGACTTTTATGATGTGTCAATTTGGTCCCTGTAGTTTTAATTTGCTCGATTTTGTTCCTTAATTTAACGGATTGTGTCATTTTAGTCTAATAAATAGCGGTGGTTAAGTTAATTTAATGAAAGGTCAAACTATGTGTCAATTTAGTCCTTGTCAAAATCAAGAAAATTGAAACTACAGGGACCAAATTGACATTATTTGATATTTCGTTAAATTAACTTAACCACCGTTATTTATTGACTAAAATGACACAATCCGTTAAATTAAGGGGCAAAATCGAACAAATTGAAACTACGAGAACCAAATTGACACATCGTGTAAACTACAGGAACTATGTGCATAAGTTATCCAAAAATTAAAGTGTTATAGTCTATGATGATATTGCTAATATTTTTTAAAAGAAAATCTTACAAGGTGATAATTGAATTTTCAAAAAAGTATTAAAGGTAATAAGCTTATAGAATATTTAAAAATCAGCAGCGCTACATGCACATAATTTTTTCATCTGAATACATACAATTGAGATTTTTACCGATAACAATCTTCACTATTGCGTGCGTTGAAGGGAAAAAATTGTGTTCATGAATCATTAAGCTTTTAGGAGGTTGGTAGCCATCAGTGGAAAGACAAACTTGACGAGGGAGCTAGTTAGGATCAAATCAAGGGCTGGTCGAATAAGAGCTTCTGCTTACCTCTTTAAAAATATTCATAACTAATACTCTACTATAATAATAAAAGTTTCCGAAATTTTGAAAGCAGTCACCCGGCTGTCCCTAAATTCATTCCAAAGCTAACCTCCACCAGTAAAAAGGGTTTTATAAGGTTCATAATTGTAATCCATACCTTCCCCAATAAAAGAATATACTTTAAGGACCATATTAAAAAAAATAAATATATATTACTAGTGAGTTGCTTTCTTCCCACTTTCATGTAAAAAAGGACCATAGATATGTATATACAGGCTCCCAATACTTTTATTGTTGTCTTTAACCTTGTCATTTTTTCCCTAATACAATTATACAAGTAAAGGTTTCCTAGTTGTGAATGTTGATCACTTTTCTTTTCTTTTCTTTTCTTTTCTTTTCTAGGCCTTCTACATACAATACTTTAGAAGTTTAGGTGCAGAGTTTGGGAGTCTAAATTCAAACATGCTGCATGAACCAAGTTTAGTTCACTGGAAAGTTTTCGGCCTATTTTCCGCAGTTTCTTCAAAGACTAGAAACTTTAGCTTCAATTGACAAATAAAAGATTTTAAAAATAAGTTACACAATGTGTCAACAAAATATTCATCTATGTATATTTTTATTTAAGGAAAATTAGTCTAAGGTCTCCCTTCTATTTTCAATAATAGAAGAGGTCCACAATGTTATTTTATAATGTCTAAAGTCCCTCGCACTTTCCTCCTGATCCGATGCATTGGTCACAGATACTATTATTAGCATCCCACTGCAACTCAACACTACTGTCAAGAACTTGCGTCACAGTTACTGAAGTTGGATTACTAGCAAAAGTCGCGGCTTCTGTTTGATCAACTTGAACACTGACAACCTCGTGACAAGACGTAGCGTTCACGTTGGAGGCGCTTACCAAACTCGGAAAACCTAGTGTGTTGGTCGTGCCATCAACGCTACAATCAAACTGGCCAGGAATGGTTGTAGCATCAAGTCCCTGGCAACCGTAGTACAGGATAAGGTCCTGGGAGGATATATAGGTGAAAGAGGTATTATCTACAGTGGCATTAATGAACTCTGTAGGGCAAATATTTTCCCAGAATTCCTTTCTAACGACCTTGAGAATTTGTGTTGAATTATTGATTGTAAGGAGTCGATATGGTCTTGTTTGGTTTGTGATCAGTGGCGGATCACCTGTGTAGTTTAGGCCGAAGCTTGGGTGGGCACAGTAATCTGGGAAAATATTGAATTTTCTCTGATTTGGACCATTAAATTGAATTTTCTCTGGTTTTGGACTAAAAAATTTCACTAGATTGAATTTTTTCTAGTTTAGACCAAAGAATTTATCTGGATTAAATTGAATTTTCTCTGGGTTTGGACCAAAGAATTTCACTGGATTGAATTTTCTCTAGTTTGACTTGAGAGACCTTAGACATTATAAAAATATTTGATGTCCTTTATGCTATAAAGGTCTTAATATCAGGGACCTTAAAAAAAAATCCCCTTTTATTTAAGCTCTGTTATATATTTGAAATAGTATTTTACTTGAATTTTTCACTTTCTATGCTACTTCCATATTGTGAGTCATGGATAATAAAATGCTACACCTATTACCAAATTTTCTTCAAAACATTATAGTATACTGAAACCAATCATACACGTTTATATATAGTGTATTTATTTATTTTGAATTTTTAATATTGTTTGTTTGATTGTGTGTTTATGTATATATGTGGGTTTGTTTTGGAAAATTTTTTTTAAGGTCCCCGATGTTAAGATTTTATAAGATAAATGACATACAATATTTTTCATAGTACTTAAGGTCTCCAAACATTTTCATAGAAAAAATTTAATTCAGAGAAATTTTTTTCGACTCAGAGAAATTTCAATTTTTTTAAAAAAAAATTCTCTGATTTCACAGAGAAATTTTGAAATTTCTTTATGAAAATTAAAATTTCTCTGAGTCGGGATTGAAATTTCTCAAAGTCAAGAAAAATTTCTCTGAATCAATTTTTTTCTGTGAAAATGTTGCAAGATTTTAGCTAATAAAAAAAAAAAATCTTAGATCTCTCCTATTATACAAAGTTGGAGAGAGATGATTCACTAATTTTTTTTTTATTTTGCGCATCTAAGTAAAAATATATATATATATATATATTATTTTTTTTATTGAATTTATTTCTATTTATTTTTTTTTATTCGCAAATGTTAATTGTTAAATTAGCATTTATGTGAGAAAATCTTATCACTCTTGGCAAAGAACCTAAGTTCTTGTACACTCTTAATTCAATCCCCTAATGGGAATTGAACCCATAACCTCCTTAAGATTAAGTCCTAAAAAAGATATGGAGACCAACTAAGTTAAATCTAGTTTGTTTTTATGTTGTAATTTCATATTCATGACCAAAAGGGTAGAAATTGTTTCTTGTTTACTAAATTTCAACTCTTTTTTAGGAGTTTCAAAAGCCTTTCCATCCTTATACCACTAATCGGTTTATGACACTTTAAAACAAGTAATTATCCGACACACTCATGATCTTTTTAATTAATGTGATAATTTTTGTTATAAAATATATATATTTTTTTATGCAAACATAAAACAAAAAAAACTTCCTTTTATATACCACTCGACATTACATGTCAAAAATCACGTGGGTCAACGAAAATCACCGATGAACATGATGATTGAGATTTAATCCAATCAGACGGTCCACAGTCCTCATCGCTCTCCTGCTTCGCAGGTTCAAGCTTCTTGATGCACCACAGATCTTCAGCCCAAGAAAACTTCTTCCAGTGTGGGATAGCCTCTCTGATTGGGTCCCTCTGGCCCACCTCAGCCACCAGGGCCCCACATCCACCCTCATCTCTAGCCATATTATGAGCGAAGGCGCACAGAGACTTCATGAGCTGCGAAGCACCCTTTCCTTCCATATAAAGCCCAAACAAGAAATAAACACCAAATTGCCTAAATACATTAGGGATTGAAGGTACCCTTAGCCATGGCAGCAGAGTGTCCAAAACCCTACTCCCTACGCACCATGCGTATGTTAGCATCGACACCCCCTTCACTTGCAACTTAAACACTTCTTTGGTGTTCCACACACTCAACATAGCAAAACTAGGTGGTAAAATCCCATTTTGTGGGTCCCACTTTGGTAGTAATTTTTTGGGCATGGCTATGAAAGTGCCCAAATTGAGTTTGTTGTTCAAAATTTGATCTATGTCATGAGGAAAGAACTCGGAGTTGGCATAGACTCGGCGATAGATTGACTCAGTGAGTTGTGGGGGAATTCGAACGATTGAAATGGCTGAATCCAATGGTTTGGTGTGGGCATGGACTGGGTGGACCAGCATGGTTGGGGTGCAAAATTTTCGGTAGTTGCATTTCATTGTGAACAAGTTTACGGATGGCTCATTGGTACAGTCCGTGGCCATGTATGCGTAGTCTGCCCCATTTTGTTTGCACCATTCCTCCAAATGTTGAACCAATTTGGTTCCGATCCCGAGCCGCCTGCATTTAGGGTTAGAAGGATTAATTGAATGTGCATAGTTAATTCTAATAATTTTATGTACATCCCTTTAATTAATCATATATTAGCAAAAAAGTGATGGGTTGTCCATGTTTAACCGTATAGGCATGTTTAACCATATAGGCATACACTAGTTGAACACTAGCATTTAGGAAAGAAAGCGTTGGATTAATTGAAAAGTAATTCTATACTAACAGAAAAATAAATACAGAATTACATGATAAATTTTATGGTGGAGATTCTTTTTAATTGGTAATCCCAACTGAAGGGTGTAGTTGGGTCTCTGTGGGCTCACAACAAGATCCATTTAAATTATTTTCATTTTCTAAGATCTTCCAAGCAAATTATTAATGCACGAAAAATCAAGTTGATCGAATAGCTGTACTAATATAATTTAATCACATTTGTTATAAAAAAAACTAGATGACAAGTGTGATTTTAAAAATAAATTGTCAATTATTTTGTAGAGAAATATAATCTCATCATGTGACTACACTAACTTATTTTTTTGGAATGGATAATGTGTTTAGAGGGTATAAGAAAATTAATAATTTGTATTAAGTAGATAACGTGATAAGTCTACGAAGGCCTAATAATACCATCTAGTTGGTAATATGTATAAGTTAAAGAGAATCTACATCATTTTAAATTAAAAGATTCATCAAAGTGACTTGAAATTTGTATCAAAGTTCTATAAAAATATTATTTTCATAATTGAATTGGGTTTTATTTAAAAAAGTGGAGGGGGATATTTTGGTAGAACAAGGTGATTTGAGATGATGATGAATTGGAATAGAATCAAATGGTGCCTTGCTTTTGTTAAGAGGGCAGTAGTGTACGGAATATGTTCCAATTACATTATTTGTCAAATAAAAATGTTTTTTAAGGAACCCCCAACACTGCAGAGTTTGATATATATATATATATATATGCTTAATGCATGCACCTAGAAAACAAACTATAAAATCATTTGTGCTTTTGTTTTTTTTGCATGCGTATGCGGATTCTTGTACCGTGGCATAATCTTAACCTTTGCTACCAGGACCTTTATACCACGTATGTACGATAGATTGAAATAAAATAGAAATATAATAAGAGTGAGAATGAAATATAAGTCTGAATGGAATAGAACATTATTTGGTTGCCAACATGAAATGTTATAGGAATAGGATGACCCATTCTCATATTTGGTTGTGTTTATTAAACTAGTGGAATGGAATAATTTTTTATTATTATTTTTTTTAACAAGTTAGTAATAAATAAATTAAAATTTTATATAGATCATGATAATGTTGATAGTTGTAGAAGTTATGGTAGCGGTGGTGGTGTTAGTGATGGCATCGGTGGTGGTGATATATATTAGTGGTAGTAGGATGGTGGTAGGTCATTGTGGTGTTGCTGGTAGTAAGTTGGTGTTGTGGTTGCGATGATAAGGTTGCGGCGGCGGCGGGCAACAGTGGTAGAGTGGTGGTTCTCACAATTGTGATGGTGCTAGTGTGATGTTTGTGAAAGTGGTAGCAGTGGTGGTAATGTAGTGGTTGTGGCGACAGAAGCAATGGTGATAGTAGGGTAGTGATTCTAATAATAGTGATGGTGATGGATCTATGGTCGTGGTTGTGGCGGTAGTGGTGGTATTGGCGACATCTATAGTATGGTGGTGGTGGTGGTGGTACTAGTTGTGGCGGCAGTAGTGATGGAGGTTGTAGTGGCAGTGGTGGTAGGGTGGTGGAATGAGTGATAACATAAGGAAATGGTGGTAGCCAAATGATAATATATTTTTTTTAAGTACCAAAAAAATAAAAATAATAAAATTTTATGGTAATCTCATGATTGAATGTAATGGTCATTCCTTAAGTTGGAGAATTCTCACATTTTGTTGAAATAACCGTTTCAATGGAATGACTATTTTCACTTAAATAAGGCATACCAAATAAGAGAAAGAGAATGCAAAACTAGAATGAGCATTCCATTCTAGCCCATTTCATTATACCAAACGTGCTATTATAGTATCAATGCTCGATTATTTGGGTTTAATATACATAGGTTAGACTTTTCTCATATTTATATCTCATTTTAAATATATATATATATATATATATTATTACAATTTAATTATCAATAGTTAAAGTATAGCTACGGAGAGAATAATGGTTATTTATTAGTTAATGAATATGCGCGTCCACCGTAGACGGCGAGGGTGTGTTTGTTTGTTTGTTTGTCGAAATCAACAAAAGTAAAAAAGCAAAGCAGTTTACATGTACTCTTTTTGGTCGAATCAAATCCTCATCTTGAAGAAAATTATTTAATAATTTTAGAATAATGTAACATTTTAATTACTAATGAATATTTTTCACATTATTTTTTAAACTTTAACCACAAAAGGGATGAATACTACTATTTAAACTAATTAATTTTAATTTGAAACTCCATTTGAATTTGTTCAAAAACATGTTGAATAATTTCTCATACTGGAATTAGAAACCATCAAAGCACATTCATCCATGCACTGAGAAACCGATTATATATACACAAAATAATAATATAATAATTATATTTGTGGTTTCAAACTATGAGTGTTATGTCATTTTGATCCCTAATGTATAAAAAAATATTTTAATTTGAAAACTAGATTAATACAATTTAAATATTGATATTCAAATTAAAATATTTTTATACATTAGAGATCATATTGACACAATTTAAACATTAATAACAAAAATAACACAAAATTCATACTTATAAGATAAAAAATATAAATCAACAGCTAGAAAACACCATATATTTTGGGTGAATCCCACATTTATATGTGGTCCTTCGTAGGCTAACACACTGGTATGTTGCCGTCATACTCTTATCATTTATATGTTTTCATATTTTATCTTTTAATTCCATTCTAAACTCACAATGCTCACAATGAAAATCTAAACCGTTCATTTTGTAAATTTCATAATGAAAACTATCTGTGCAAAAATTAGCTTCATTGAATATTGATGAACACATATGCAAATCACTTTTTGTTTTATAGAATGAAAGGTTTAAATTTAAACTCACAATTACTATCTAGTTTAAAAAATAAGATGCAATTAATTCATATATTTAGTGATATTCGATGAAACTAATTTTTTGAATAATTCATCTAAATTGTTAGAATTACGAGATGAACAGTTTAGATTATCAATGTAAGCTTCGAATAAAATTCAAAAGACAAAATGGAGGGGATATATATATATATATATATAGAGAGAGAGAGAGAGAGAGAGAGAGAGAGAGAAACCTGTGTGTAGGTGAAACCCTTAGTCCCAGAATATAAGCCAACTTTACATAGGATGGAACATCTTCACTGGTGGAGGCTTTCCTTCCACTAGTCACAGTTTTTACACAACCCCTAATCACTCCCACTATTTCTCTCTCTTCTCCATACTCTGCAACCTGTTAGTTCACAATACCTAAATATATCAACACATTATAAATAAATATCATTGTTGTATTTTTTCTGAATACCTCGTATTAATTTTTTTTTTCAAAAATGTTGTACTAAAAAGGTTATTTACAATAATGTTGATAGCTAATTTATTTCTTTTATTTATAAATTTATGTTAAAGTATTTAATGTCACGTACACATTAACAATAAGATTGACAATTAAAATTACCAGCATGACATGTGAAGAGAAGTTGCGCACACGACAAATGGGATCTCCCATGAGGTCGGTGACTAGCGAAGGCTTCCCTCGCTGCCCGCCAAACTCACACCGCCTCTCCAACTCCTCCACCGCCGCGTTATCTCTCTCTTCATCGTACTCTCTCACCACCACCACCTTCTCTGCTTCGGGTGGTGAAATTGGAAAATTCTCTGCTGCTATTTTAGACGACATTTTAATAATTATGAAAAAATATATAAGTATGCAAATATAGCAAAAAATGATAGAATTGAAAAATTCTCTAAGATGGTAATATGGTAGTGTGTGTACTTGTGATTGTGGTTGTGCCGTCCTAAAGCTTCAAGCATTGTTCCTCTATATATAGCTAAGTGGGTCAGCTGACGTGGCACTTTCACCACTTTTAGTGGTGGGCAATGGGCATATATGTATAGGGAAACAATAGGGTGTGTTAAAAAAGAAAATAATATAAATATTTTTTGAGTTATAATTAAATATAGGGCTAGTTTGGCATGTATTAAATAAGTCAAAAAGTCAAAAAGTCACTATCTTATTTAAGTCATATCATCTTATTTAAATCACATCACCTCTCTAACACATCACATCAAACCCAACCCAAACCACCAATAAGTCAAAAAGTACAATTTTTTAGGACATCCCAAACCAATCCATAGTATGAGACGTAATTAAAGAATTTACGAGTTATAATTAAAATAATATTATAATCAAAGAAAAAATTAGTCATAACAAAAAAAAATGATATAATTAGATATATATATATATATAATATCATTTTAAAAATATATATATATTAAAATTTTATATGTATTAATATATAAAATTAATTTACTCCATGTTTATCTCTATCTATATCCATAGCCATGAGATGTATATAAATATACTTTCGTTGTTTTCAAAGGGTGATGAATGATGATCAGTGTTCCAATTATTGCTTCAAAAGATTGCATATAACATATTTTGTCCTCAGATGTTAGTGATGGTGGCGGCGGAGATATCCCATGTGAATCAACGCCCTCTTTCACGCCTGACAAAGGACGCTCTGTCTCTAAATAATTTTATCTTTTACTCTAAATTATTCATAATTATTAAATATGTTTTGAGATTTTTTTATAGTCCAAATCACTCAAATCTTAATGTGTGAAAATTTTCGAAAAAGAATTAATCTAACAGCATGTTTGATTGGTTGGACTAATTTGTGTGACATATTTTATTGTTTGATTGTAATTTTTATTATTTGAATTAAATTTTAATAAATATTTATTTTACAAAATTATTGAAATTTTTTATTTTGTAAAAATAATTACAAATCAGTGATAAACTTTATATAAATACTAATAATTATGATTATAATTTTTTCATTAATATGTAATTATTTTTTAAAACTTACACTAGTTTGTAATTACCTCTTTTTTAAACCTATAACTAATTATGAAAAATAATGATATATTTTTATATTTATTACAAAATAAATGTAGACAACTAAAATTATTTATTTCAGTGATCTAGTTGAATAATCAATTTTACAGTAATCTCATGAATTGTTAATTCCCTCACTATTAATCCTGCTAATCAAACAAAGTCTAAGTGTACATAATTTTTATTTTTTATTTTTTATTTTTTACATAAAGGGCATGTTTGATTAGATGAATTATTGTATAAGATTGAGATTAATAATTCATGAAACTCTTATTTCATCATTTGGTTGCAATTTTTGTTATCTGAATTAGATTTTCGATGGACATTATTCTATTCAACAAAATTGGTAATTTTTTAAATTCTACAATTAATAATGCAAAATAAACATATAATTGAGATTATATGTCTCTATATCTATTGCAAAATAAATGTGGATAAGAATGAACTATATATCTCATTGATCCAACTAAATAAACAGACACAAATATGTGAGATAAGTGATGAACATGGATATACACCTTTTTTTATCTCATATCCTATCTATTTTATGAATTTGTTTTTGCCATTATAATATAAGTGAACCCTCATAAGTTTATGTTTGACCGTATTAAAATAATAATAATAATAATAATAATAATAATAATACTCTATATTAAGAGTTCATTAACAATTTCTTTTGTTAAAGTTAAGACTTAAAACTAAAATTGTCTACGGGCATCCCATCACTCAATACCACAGAGTTGATCTTCTTTTAGACTTTCACTGTTTTATTCATCTTCTAAGTGTATTTAGAAAACAGATTATATATGTCTATGTAAAATTTATCATATTTTAAAAATAATGAAATATATCATAAAACATGAAAAATTATATAAAAAATGAGGAGTAAATTCTAGTAATATATAGTAATTTTTTTTAAAATTAAATTGTATGATTATAAATAGTGGTTTTTAGTTTACGGTTTATGATATTATAATTTTATAAGTTAAATGACATATAACGTTTTCATACTAGTTGAGATCTCTCAACATTTTTACAAAGAAATTTCAACTTTATTGAGAAATTTTAGCTCTTTACAGAGAAATTGACAAGCTGAATTTTTTTTGTGACGAGATAAATTTTTTTTAATAATATTACTAAGGAAACTTAACTAATAACAACAAATATATTAGACATTTCCTACTATCTAAAATTAAGACGTGTGTTTCGCTAATTTTTACTTATAAATATATGAGATTAAAAGACAAACACTTTTATGGCGATTGCCAAAAAACTAATAGACCAAACATTAGTACAATAATGGACCATATGTCGGTAAGGCCAGTGTTTAGTTGCCAAGATATCCAACCATTGAGAGAATTTTCTCATACCGACCAAAAAATAAATAAATAAAGGTATTTCAGTGGAGTAATAAAGAAATAATTTTATTTTTATCGTAATGTAATTTTTTTTTTCTTGTATATGATATAAGTCTATTTCAGTATTGGTGCAATTTTTGAGTAATGTTAGAGATCTTAAAAATTTTATCAAAATTTTTACCAAATGTTTCACATGGGTGTAGGACCCACACAATGCGGGTCTCATGTGGGTCCCACACCCGTGAGACATTTGGTAGAACTTTTGTAGAATTTTTGAAATCTCTAACCATTTTGGCAATTTTTTCATGTGTGTAATTGTACTAAAAAAAAATTTCATTTACATAGATTACTTCACTTAATTGCAATTTGTCAGAGAGAGAGAGAGAAAAGTACTTGATAGTATTAAACTAGGTTCGAATGAGAGAGAGAGAGAGAGAAAAGTACTTGATAGTATTAAACTAGGTTTGAATGATCAATTATTAGCTTAATTGTAGTGAGAGTTGGTGAGAATCACTTCCCAACACCACCATTTTTGGTGAACATGTGGAGAGTCTTAAGAATGTGTGTGGCCATCACATGAATCCTTAATCATCATGCATCTAATTATTATAAACTACACATTTGTTTGATTATATAAAGTGTAGATCCAATTTGATGTAAACGCTGACGCACTTTTTTCTTTTAAAAATATTTTTTATATTAATATTGAACAGTTTTTATTTATTTATCAAACTGTTCAAAATTGTTGAACAGTTTTTTACATTTATCAAATTGATCCTCACTCATTAAGCTATTCAAAAATTTAAATGTAAAATTGCTCAAGACAAACATATATGTTTTATGTTTTATGTTTTATGTTTTTTTCTTTCTTGTTTTTTTAAATTCATCTATACTAATATATAAAACAAACACTTCTATTATTGAGTGGTTAGTTTAGTGGTAAGAATTGGGATTTTCTCACTCAATATTTGGATTCAAGTCTCTATAGCTGTTCAATAAGTTTAAAAACCTATTCTTTATAACACATGGTGTGACCCTAGCTTTAATCCCAACGCAAGTGCAGTGAAGTTTTCTGCAAATTGTTGAGAGATAATGCTCTCTAGCGGATATGTGTCTATATATATTCATTTTTAGTACCAAAAAAAAAAAAAGCAAACAACTTTGTTGGTGTGGATGTTACAAATTTTTTTTTTTTTTTTGATGAAAATATCCTCCAGACATTATATTTATTATAAATTATTTGAATTCTCTCAAACTATTTTAAATAACTATCATAATTATTAAATTTAATTTCAAATTTCACTATGGTATCCACCTCTTAGTGTGTTTATAAATATGGAGGGATACAACAAACTCAGAAAAATACATCCAGAATTTACTAGAAATATTAATATGGAATTCAGATTTATTCTATACATGAATTCTACAATATATAATTTTAATTTCTACCACAATTTATTCTTGATTAAAATCTAGATCCCTAGACTTTCTGATATATATATATATATATATATATATATGTGGGGATGTATTTTCTGAATACCAACACGTGGCAAGGTGACGCCGACTTGTCAACCGAAGTGCCACATGTCCTGGTTGTGTCGCTGAGGTTATCTCGGCGAGGCCGAGGTTATTTCCGAAGATATCGGAATCTGAGATAAGCGGATAATGGATAAGGGGCAAGAGTCCTAGAGTAAAGAGAAGACTTTACTAAGATAAGGATAAAGCTCTTAGGGAATTTATCTTTATCTCTTGAGAAATCCAAAATAAGTATAGAATTGGAATCCATAGAAGTCAAGCTTCTAGTAGGACTAGGATTGAGTAAACTATAAAAAAGAGGCATCCCTGTGGGTCTAAGTTACGCAGTTTTATGCTTTGAGTAGTGAGTTTAGCACTTGATTATCTTTGAGAGATATACTGACTTGATCGTCGGAGTGTTCCCGGGTGGAAGAGCCACCGCCGGAGCCTTTTCTTTCTGTTACAGGTTTGCTGAAGCCATCTATTCTGCCGGTGCTCTCCAGCTGATTACTAGGCGGGCAGTGTGGTCAGAAAATCACTCACACAATATATATATGTATGTATTTTGTTGAAAGAGAGGTGGTGATCAGGGACGAAACTAGGATTTCATTATCGGAGTGGTCAAAAGACAAATAAAAATTTTCATCTTATACATAAGTACACATGTATGTATAATATGATGTATAAATTATATCTATATACATAAAAAAAAATTCAAATACCGTAGAAGAAATTTCTAATAGGATGAAAAAAAAAAATTTGGTGTAAAATAAAAAGACAATGCAAGATGGAATAAGAATGAGATATACATTTTTTATACTGAAGAATCATTTTATGTATAAAATAAGATATATATTTTTATAATGCCATGACAAATAATATTTTTTACAAAAACAGAAGAGTCATGACCCATAATCTTTTCTTAATTCCGTCTCCTAAAAGGAACAGGGGCAGGTGGGAAATGATTAGGAAGGTAGTCTTATCTTTTTCCACTGAAATTCTGGATACTGTAATT